GGCAGGGTAGGAAAGGCCTGTGTGCCAAGATGCTGGGTGCGCCAGTTAAGTATGAGACTTTGTAGGCTTTGTGGTTCAGAGGATTGAGGCAGGTCAATGTTGAGGGCAACGTTGGTGGTAGAATGATGCCTTATCTCCACTAAATTTTGATTTTCAATCCTTGCCTCCCGTCTGCCTGTGACGACCTGGGGCCGGCCGACGGCTACCCAGCGCTCCAGCATTTCACTGGCATCCTGCAGTTGATGTAATCGTCTCCAACCTGCAAGTACGCTTCTCCAGGACGCAAGAGCATCCACATGCGCTGGCCTATGCAGTCGCAAAACATCCCTCCATGCCTGGATTTTCGTGCCATATGCATCTTGTTCCGAACAGCCTACGCATGTCGTGGCGTGGGCCCACGCAAGCACCATCGAGTTCAAGTAACAAGTATAGGTGCTATCAATGAGCTTTTATTGGACGACCCGATGATCAATTTTTGGATGAGCTCTGCTGCCGGGGATTGGCGGAGGCTGTCTCTGCGCAGCTGAACACCTATCAGCTGTAGCGCCGAGCATCCTGAGAGTTTCTCTAAGGTGCTCCAAACCGTGCTGCATCCCTCTGCCCACCCTGACATCTCGAGTTGGAAAGCTGTCACTTTGTCTGTGGACTCCTTGAAGGCTCTTGAAAGCGAGTCACCATGCACGGGGCGGCAAGGGTCGGTATGGCTTGGTGTAGCGCTTGAACCAGGCCCTGGGCGCTCACTGGGGCCCTCCCACTGTCCAGTTAGGGCACCCAAAGTTAGTGACCACACTTGATACTGCTATCCGGTCTCTGTTAGTTAGGTCGCGGTTTTTGCTCTCTCCAGCAGCGGGTCCTTCAGATCTTGGAGCATCTTGAGCAGTCGCTCCACCAAGCACATGATCAGTACACACCTGAAAGGCCGGTCCACGGCCTCCTTCCAAGTCTGACCTATCTTGAAAAGCAGCTGCAGGGTGCAGCCAGTCCTGCACTGCAACACTGCGCCAGGGCGCGTGAGGCCGTAAGGGCTTCCCATAGCTTTTCGACCCATTGAGCTGGTGGAGCCATGGCGGCGTATCCTGGAGGTGCGACGTCATCTTCTACAAGTTCAATTGGCTAGGCGTTGAACAACTCTGCCGCGGTACTGCGCGAAGAGCTTGGTCGGGTCAGTCTCCTCCACAGCAGAGGGGCCCGTGGCGGGCATCCCAGCTTGGCCTTCATCCTGTGACTCATCTGGCACAGTTTCGGGCTCACTTTCTTCCATCTCCCATTGCGGTTGATCGCTGCGCGCTGAGGGTTGCTACGTTAGGCAGCGACGACTTATGGAAGCTGTCGTGCAAACATACACAATGGCCTCCACGCTGCCACGATGTGGCTATGGTGGGGGACGTTCGCCATCTTCAACCGCTCCAGTTTCGTGACGATTTGCAAGACGTGCTACAGGAGTGCTTTGCTCCGCGCACTGAACATCTGAGTGGCTGCGCTTGGCGGACCGATGTGCCGGGGCCATTCTCTGGCCTGCCACCCTTGCTGCTCATCATCGTTGTCCTTCCAGTTTCTCTCTTCCTGGGTACGGCAAGCCCATTCGTAATTCCACCAGTTGTTGTCTTCATCGGTCCGGCGGTCTTCTTGACCGGAGCTCTGTCACCACCTTTCGTTGGCACGCGCTGTCCATGGTGGCTGGCTGCCCGCACTGCCCCATCCTCGCTCTTGCCACGGCGCAGAGCTGGCGTCCGACACGGCAGCAGAAGGGGCCCCCCAGGCAACCCTTGTCGTTGCTGGTCGTCGTCCTGCTCTCTTTCTGCTCTCATCTTTGTTTCCAGTACTCTGCGTAAGGGGCGCGCGAGGCGAGTTCTCCCCTGGCTCGCCTCCTTGCGCCGTCGGCGCGATATCTGCTACGGGGCTCCCGCGGCGCCCTATTGTCCCTGGACTCGGACATGGCGGCTGCGAGACCTGACTACCAATGCAGTGTACAAGTGTCTTCCTGCCAGGTGTGACATAAGCGCGCTCTGCACTCAGTCCTTGCTTGGCACGTGCTGGGCCCGCCAAGACATCGCATGAACCTGGGCACACAGTATGCCGGGGATACGGGGCCAGCTATATTTTCCATGTGGACTATGCTTGCAACATTGCTTACGCAAACGCAGGCATGGTTTGAGGCACTTTGGCCTGCTCGCTCTGATCACTCTGAGGCCAGGACCCGTTCTGTTACCACTTGCTGCAGAAAGTGAACATGTAGAATGCCCTACCCCGTCAGTCCACGCTGTTAAGGTAATTTCTTGCGCTCGTGTCTGCGGCGCCGGATGCGCTGTCAACTCCAGGACTCCAGGCCCTTCATCACGGAGGCAGGTCTTTCTGTCCCTGTCTGGGCTTGAGTGACTGCGGGGTACCTGTGTATATATAGGTGGGACGAGGTGGGGTTTGGGGATCCAAGCTCTTTCTCTCAGTGGCTGTCGGTTCGGCTTTGGTGTCGGAGTTGACGGGGCGTGTGCCTTCCTTGCCATGAATGGGAAGGTGCGTGGAAGGGGTCGGGTCTCCGCTGGCAACTATTGCCCAGCGTTCTTCCCTCCTTTCTTTCTATCTTCGCACCACTTGGCGACATCTGCTGCGCAGGGTCGGGCTTCGTCTGCGAATCGCGTCGCCGATGCTCTTGGCGACATCTGCGGTGTTGATTGGCTTATTTGCTGCCATTGCCTTGGTACCGGAAGGCTGCATGCGCAAGACATGGGCTGGAGCCAAGCGGTCAGGCAGATCAGAATATGAGTTGAGTTGGGGTAGGGGCTTGGGAGGCATCCCGTGTTTGGCCTGCAGTTTGTGGTGTCATGTGTGCTGCACCTTGGGGCCAAACCTGGCTGTCAACACACTAGTAGGATCACAGGGGGAGCCACAGGCTGTCCCAACCATACTCATGCAATATGCGACTCCAGCTACCAGATTCATTTTCCCAAAGGCTATCATACATGACCTGGGCAAGGCTATCATACATGACCTGGCAAAATTGGCTACATCTGCTTGTCGAAGGTTGTCTCGGGCCTGAATACAACGCATTCTCCTTTCAATGGGGCGGCATGTATGCTGGGTGTAACGCTCAAGGAAATGTTCGTAGATACCCAACGGCGTGTCCACATCCGGTGTGTCTGGGGTGCTCTTTGCCGAGGCTGCGGCGGTGGTTGACTCCGGCTGTTCCCTTCTCGTGATGGTTGCACTTTCTCGCAAGATGGACTGCACATTAAGGAAGGCGCTCTCAACAAGAAATCTTTTGTAAAACGATACGTGCTGAGACATGTCTGCTGCTTCCAAGTTGACATCCAGGATTCCTCTGGCATCATCACGCACCTCCGGGATATATGCATTGTTTTCCTTAAGGTGCATCCATAACCCCAATTTTCCCTAACTTCCTCAATTCGGACCCCAGAAAACTCCAGCATCAGTGCAAGTTGCTCGAGGTCGTAAGGGTCTGCTGTGGTATTGCCAAGGGGATGGGCAGGTCATGCACCCTCCTGGATACAATGCTTAATGACTTGTCGTTTGTTGGAGCGGGCTTCGTCGGTGGTAATGCTTTCTGTGCTGCGGGGGCATCTGCGCTTTTCTCGCATGTTGCTACCAGCAGGGTTGTTAGTATGCAACATATCTTCATCCATTGCATCGAATCTAGGTGCAGCTCAGCTAACGAGCAGAATTTGAGCCGTGGTGCTTCCTCCTCCTCCTCCTACTACTACTACTACTTCTACTTCTTCTACTACTACTACTACTACTAACTACTACTAACTATTACTAACTACTACTACTACTACTACTACTACTAGGTCATGGCGCTTTATTTTGCCGTGGGTTATCGCGTGTGAGCAGCCTCAAAAACACTGGCAGGCGTGGCACTCGTAATTTTAAGGGTCTCAAATTGCCCGCGGAACTACTTCGTTTTGGAAGATTTTTTCAGGGTTTAAGGTTAGGGTGTGTGGGGTTGTCATTTTCTCTTAAGTGGAGGCTTTAGGCTTTTAAAGGGACCCACCCAAGTTGTCTAGTTGTCCCATCGTTGGTATACGGCCAAGCTCACACGTTCAAAAGGGACCTTTTCGGGGCACCGTATGCTCTTGGAACACGAACAGAATTATGGTTTGGGCATGGATTCTCTGGTGAGCGTATGCACTTGGAACACGAACGTTATTATGGTTTGGGCATGGATGCTCTGGTGATCGATTGCTCTTGGAACACGAACGTTATTATGGTTTGGGCATGGATGCTCTGGTGATCGATT